ATACTGTTCCAAGTATCTGATTCTAGTCCTTGAGTTACTTTACAATTTTGTAAGATATAGATAACCAATAACAATGCATAATAATTATTGTCTGTAATTGTGTAAATTCTGTCTGGTGGAGAGTCAATTAATTGTCCTCCCTTCCCACCCACCCCCATAAGGCCAGCTTTACCTCCATTTGCACATTTATTTCAATATTCCTGATTTATGAATGTGTCCTTTTTTTAATAATTCCCCCTTGAACTTATAACACCTCACCAGTTTCCTCATTAAGGAGTTAAATAAAAACGTTAACATCGACTCAGTTTTATATCTGTATGAACGTTATGATTTTACCTTTTTAAAAAGAAGTATATTTTGGGGCGCCTGGGTGGCCCAGTCATTAAGCGTCTGCCTTCGGCTCAGGTCATGACCCCGGGGTCCTGGGATCGAGCCCCACATCGGGCTCCCTGCTCCACGAGAAGCCTGCTTCTCCCTCTCCCACTCCCCCTGCTTGTGTTCCCTCTCTCGCTGTGTCTCTCTGTCAAATAAATAAATAAAATCTTAAAATAAATAAATAAATAAAAAGAAGTATATTTTAACATCCAGCAACGATACACTCACTTCTGAACATTCAAGGTCATCAGTAATATGGCCCCTTTGGCCATCCTACCCCCCACGTAAACTCATCAGTACTAAAAGAGCCTAAATCATTATGAGTACACTGTGGGAGCTTTTGTTTCCTTTCGCGGGTTCTTGGCCAAGACTATTCATCTGTTCATGTCTTGTCTACCTCCACAGCTGGACCCATGGACCAGTGGGTACACTGGACCACTGGGCCAGTCTTAATTTCATGGTCAAGAAAGCACCCTGTGTATATGTTAAGTCTGGTTGCTGCACAGCCAACAAGTTATTCCTCACTGACAATAGCAGTATTTGGGACTCCGGTTTTATGACCTAACTGCTAGGTGATTCCGTCAGGATATAATGGAGGATCTGTTAGGGGAGAGATGATAAAGAATCTGTTTTGTTAACCTTTTTTTTGTTTGTCTGTTTGTTGTTGAACTCAGCTCAGTCAAGAAAACATTTTATTCTCATTGAAAGTAGAGATCCTTTGAGATCTGCTCTTGCGGGTTGTCATGGTTCGGGGTTTACTGTTAACCTATGATTGAGGTGGAGGAGCTAAACCTGCAAGCTCTCAGCAAGTCTGTGCATCTGTAACTGAGAAAAACTTTTACCTCTCACTACGTGTTTGACGTTTTCCTACCTCTTGAGCATATAAATAAATTATAAGGTCTTTTGATCCAAATTGCTCCATTCTAATTGGTTCATAAAGAAAAATAAACACTTAACATAATTCTAATATTCCCAAGTCTCTCAGGAAATTAAAAAAAAAAATGGACACATAAAACTAGCCTTAAAAATTTCTCACAGGAACCTCAAGGTCAGAAGCAGGTTTGTATAAAAACACGAGTGATGGACATTGGGGAAGATATGTGCTACGGTGAGCGCTGTGAATTGTGCAAGACTGTTGAATCACAGACCTGTACTTCTGAAACAAATAACGCAACATATGTTAAGAAAAAAGAAAAAGAAGAAGATAGCAGGAGAGGAAGAATGAAGGGGAGTAAGTCAGAGGGGGAGACGAACCATGAGAGATGAAGGAATCTGAAAAAACAAACTGGGGTTTCGGAAGGGGAGGGGGGAGGGGGATGGGCTAACCTGGTGATGGGTATTGAGGAGGGCACGTTCTGCATGGAGCACTGGGTGTTATGAACAAACAATGAATCATGGAACACTACACCAAAACAAATTATGTAATATATGGTGATTAACATAATAAAAAATTAAAAAAAAACACGAGTTCACATAATAAAGTTGTGTCTTTTACAATCTAGGTGAGTTTGATAACTTTTGGTTTGAAAACAGCTATCTGACTCTCCACTGGTTTTATCAATGCAGTTGTATCCGTTTGCTATTGCTGCATGACAATATTACCACAAACTTCTAGGCTTAAAGCAATACACATTTATTAACTCACAGTTTCTGTTGATCAATCAAAGCTAAGTTCATTAGGCCTACTGCAGTAAGAGATAACACCACCTTGAGAGATCCTGGTAACGTCTCAAAATGGGGAAATTAGGGGAGGATAATTATAGGGCTCGGGGATCTGGGCTTAAGTGGTTGAAGGCAAGTTTGTCAAGACAGAAAACTAATTGACACGGGGGACAGTCCTTGACATAATAGTTTAGGATTGAGAAATATAGCAAAGCCAGCTTCTTGACATGAGTCTTAATAAGTAAATTTTTTTTTTTTTTATAAGCTACCTATTTGGCCAAGTGAGCAATTTATTATCCTGATAGGAGACAGAGCTGTTTGGCCAGATGAACAAATCATATGGATAAATTGCTTTTCAGGAATTTCCTAAAGCAAACAGTAAAATTGTTTATTGGTTTATATCTTTATCCTCCTGAGCCAAGAATTTCTTGGAACAAGTATTAAGTCAAATTGATACAGGGAATCTCAGCTCTCACTCCCAAGCTCTGTGAATATAAAGGATCTAAACTCTTAAATCTTAATTCTGATAAATGATTTTCTAAGTTGTAGTATATCTACTTAACTTAACCAAGATACTTATTTAACTTTAAAATCCTGGGCTACTCTTAAATGAAGTTATTTTAATGCCTAACCTTAGACACTTAGACAATTTCCAAGTGAATTATAATACTGAAATGCGGTCACTCGATGTATTTTTAATATATATGTGCTTTTGTTTCTTACAGTGGGTATATCTGTTGGTCATGTTAATGATTGTGTTCATTTTGCTAATTTAAAATGTAAATATAAGTGTAAATAAAACTCTAGAGAGTTTTACATGCGTATTCAGTTTTGCCAATTTGCTAAACAGTGTATGATAGATACTTCTACATTTCCCTTCCAGTTTTCTCTATGAAATATAAATTAGCTACTTTGACTAAAAGTTATCATCCATACAGTTAATCAAAGACCAGACCAAAGCAACCATTGCAGAAAACTACAACTGTGAATACAACGCAATGGAAGGTGTTTTTGTTTTTGAGAAAGGAGAGGTGCTTTGTCTTAAAAAAAAGTCTGGTTCTTCCAGAACATAAAAGAGGATTGTGTGAGACAAACTTTTAATAGATATAGAAAGTTATAGTTGGCAGAAAAAAAAAAAAACTGTATTTGTCTCAAACTGCAGGCAATGAGTCTGAAAAAAAATAAAATGTATTCAAGTTTTGACAAAGTTCGCTCAGTTTGGGTGGACTTATTTGTAAGATAATTTAAAAAGTAGAGCAGGGAGCTCATGAGTCCTTTACTGCTAAATAGAATGTTAATGCAAAACTAAAATTTGGTTTTCTATATATTAAAATGACAGTTTATCTTGAACTATTTGGCCTTCTCTTAACAAGGGATAGTAAATAGCTATTCTTTCACATTCTCTGTGATCTGTCTGTGTGTGTGGCAGAAATTCCATATCCCATCAAAACAGTCTTCTGTATTTTGTGCTGACTTCGTCAAGCCCTTGATTATTAAGCAACAAAAACATAAAGTTCCTCATTCTGAAAGATCCTTTCAATTGTGTTACCTTCTTGTCATGTAGAATACTGTATTGTCACTCTAATAAGTAGTCAATTTATCATTTCTCAGGCACACCTGATCCTGTCATGATAGATGATCTAAAGTACTCTGATACTCAACTTTTGATTTTGCTTTTTCATGATCACATCCCACATTCAGAAAAATTAAAATTTCAGGATTTTTCTTTACACATAAAGCTTCTTTAAAAATTTCCCATAAGGGTCTTGGAAGTTCATGAAGATTTGTTCTTTTGCCTTATAAAAGAAGTGATGCCCCCAAATAGTTGTTTTCTTGACATGTTCTATATTTCCTCGATTAGCTCAACACTATCGTTAAGAACTGATCAAAAGAGTGGTCAAATTAAAGGGTAAATTTTATAGATAAAATAATACTCATATACACATTTCTGAGATTGTACACATAACAGAATGAATCAAAAGGCCCTGGAGATCTGTCAGCGCTCTCACTGTTCATAACACATTCTTACTCCTGGGAAAAATACTAATCATATTATTACAAAAAATTATGTCCTGCGCTCATTAGAGATTGTACTTGCTTCAATTTTGGCATTGCTCATTACCACGGTAAAATAACCATAATCACTTAATCTTGTGACTCCTGTTATCTTCTGAAGCTTGCCAAAAAAGCACAGAGGTTAAAATTTGTATCTTCAACAATAAGGGCAACCTCAGAATTTCACAGAAAGGACTGTACTGTGTTCTTTTAATTGTTGATATTTCAACAAATTGGCTCATGAGTTGCAACTCTAGAGCATAAAGATAACACTGCCTGCACAATTGTCAGATATATGTGGGAACGGTTGGGATTTCCAAGACCTGTTCTATTTTAGAAGCAGATGACTTCACGAAAGCAGCCTGATGACCCAAGATGTAGCAGAACAAGAAATAAATACATAAATGAATGAAATGAACTAAATTTAATCATAGATATTTGGTTTAGAATACTGATGGCAGTTATTTGTTGTCTATTTTCTGATACTTGTATGAAGAGGTCCTTTCTTTTACCTGGTAACTTAACCTCTAACTCTCTTTCAACATCAAGTGAAATATTTTTAAAATGGCTTCTAAGGCTTAGTGCCTCCCTGAATTTAAAACCAATTATGTGTACTGAGTCTCTATACTTTACATGAAAATAAAGTTACCCGCATAGGGTCAATAAGAAGCTGTTTTCCTTTCACGAGGTATCAAATTCTTATAAAAAATTATGTGTTACCCCAACAGAGAGTTTTACTGTCTTCAATTGTGACGCTGTCACACAAGGTCCTGAGAGTCATATTTGAAAATAAGTGATATTTAATCAGCTATGAAAATTCCATCATTAAGGAGCAAGTGTACTTTATGTGTAAAAGAAAGAAACCATAAACCAGGTACCACCCAAGAACACTGGTCTGGTACCTGTTATAGGCAGCATCACTCACTGGCTGGCCAGGAACTGCAGTGTATTTGGGACTTCAAGTAGAAAGGAGTTCTCTGGAATCTATAAGCAATGAAGAAGAAATCTTGGTGGGTAGATTGTCTTAATCTTGGGATAGGGAAAAAAAATGCTTTTAAATGACTGAATCCTATATCCCTTAATGAAATTATTCAGCAGAATTTAGTTCTTCGCCCTGCATAGTTGCTCAATACTGAATGCTCAAGGAGGCACATATGGTTAGTTAATACCTTTTGCTGAACTATGTAAACAAACATAATGAAACCAGACGTGTGTTTGTGTGTGTGTGAGTGATCAAAAATAATCTCTAAAGGTTATTTATGATCAAGAGTGGATGGTTAAGCAAAATTATTTAAAACTTGGAAATAAAGCAAAAAGGTGGGTGGCAGCACCTTTCAAGAACATACTGGGGTACCGCTTAACAGATTAAATCAAGTATTATTTAATCATCTAAAGGAATGTATCTGTGCTTGACTATTTTCTATTAAACACCTGGACTCTGTGACATATACCTGAAGTGGTAGATATTGACTGGTAGAGAGCAAATTGAAGAACAACTGCTTGTGAATTTACCAGTGACAATGAACTTTGAAAGAAGAATCTTTTATTGAGCATCACCTAAGTGTCAAAAACTATACATTACTCATTTAGTCATAAAAACAACCTTGAGTGATAGGTATTATTATCTTCATTTTACAAGTAAGAAAGCTGAAGTTCAACAGGCAAAATGATTTGCCACATTATTTAGCTAGTAAATGGTGAAGCCAGGTGTCAAACCCCGAACATTCTTTCAAAACCTCCGCTCTTTTTACATTATTCTACCCCCGTAGTAAAAACTTTTTTCCTAACAACCACAAAGTCATACCTGCCACTTCTGCAAACCAAAAATGATATCTAAATGTCACCAAAAAGAAAAATATGCTAGTTAAAAAGGCAGAATTTCATGATGGGAAATGTAAGTATATGTTCTGCGTGCATGGAGTAAAAGATCTATGAGTCATCTCCTGCAACCCACTAAGTGTTTAGTTGAAGTTCGCTCTTTCTCATCTAGCTAGAAGGCAATTAGAAGCGTGTGAGACAAAGTATCCCTTAGGAAAAACTGGCTCAAGAATAAATCATTTAAAGTGCTTTACAGACGTTACCTAATACATTTTCACACATCCCTGTGAGCTACACAGCCCCCCACAAAAAGCGATTCTAATTTGTTTACAGACATTCAAAGGTGATACAGTGTAAAGTGGAAGGCCAAGATGCTACTAACAACATTAGACTTACCTGAGGCCTAGGGCAGTTTCGGCCATTTCAGCTGAAATACCACTAAGTTAAGTTAATTAACCTCTATTGTTTTCCTTAACCTGCTTAATGAAAATGTCAGTACCATTTGGGCCAGAAGGCTGTGAAACCAGGCAGGTCATTTAGAAGTTTTTTCTCCCCTTCAAGCTGCTCCATTCTGATCTGATCAATGGTTAACATCCTTCACCTTAGAAACAGTGGGAGATATTAATATTCTCCTTCCCTAAGGGACAGGGTACCTTTTAAAAAGCAGTGAACTGTGAATTTCCAGCTAATTTAAACAACACTTCTACAGAAAGGAGAATCTGTCTTAGCCTTTGAGGAAGACCTAGGGCAAAATAATTGTTACACTACCATCCCTCTCCCCCTTTATCTTTAAAAAAATGTTTACACAAAAAATGTTGATTTCACCTAAAAAAAAAAACAAAAAAAAAACAAAAACTGTGCAACTGGGAATGGAGTGGGAGGTGCATTTTTTCTGCCCTAAGAAAGGGTGTTGAGAATGGTGGGTGCAGCAGAATTTCACACATGAAAATTTAGTATGTACTGTATTTTCTGGGTTTTAATTTTTAAGCATACTTCAGTATAAAGAAGAAGACACTGAAAACAATGTTATGATAATCTTTCCCAACCTTGTTGCCACCCCAGTCTCACCATGTCTGTAAATGATCCCTGAAGCCACCAGTTGCTCAAGCCAGAAACAGAAGTCAGTCACACTTGGTTCTCCCTCCTCATCTCCCACATATAATCCCAACAGCAAGTCCTGTCTATTTTACTTCTAAAGTCTGTCTCCAATCTGTCCACCTTTTTCTCATTTCCTCTGATTTCACCTTTGTCCAAACCAGTAAAGTGAATGAGAATCTGAGGGTAGGTAGTAAAGAGCTTTCTCAGAAGTACAGATATTTGGAAACACAACTGGAGCAGAAGGAAAGGAGATAGAAGAGAAGCTGGAAAAGTGGGAGAAAGAGAATACAATTGGGATATGCAGAGAATTTAGATTAAAAAAGCCCCCAGAGACCTGAGGGTGACTCTCACACATTTCCTAATCTGAAGACAAGGACAGATGTGAACATAAGGTGCAGGATGTGTTTCTTATATTTAAGACTATTACATCATGTATGAAACTTTTACCTTATACCACTTCCAAATGATTACTGAGAAGATTTCTGAAAAATTTTTTCAAGGTGAAATCTTTCAGATTAAAAAAAAATGCAACTAAAAACATATAATAAGGTAACTGAGTAATACTTTAGAATTATTATTCCTTTTTGTATCAGTTTTCAAAGACTTGAGTAAAGACAAATTGGATGTTTGGGTTTTGTTTTAGGTACACTCAACTTGATCAAAGAATCCAAAGGCCAATATTCAAATTCACTGTGATAAAAGCCAAGTTTTAAATCTATCGTAGGAAATTCACTTGTTCAGACAAGCCAAAATTCAGTTTGGAAAATATTTATCTACCCCATGGTCTCAAAAATTCTTAGAAGAAAAGTGTCTCAATTTTCTCCAGTATTCTTCATTAAATGACCTTTAATGTGGATTTAAGAAACATTAATATTTATTAAGTTCAAGGCATATTCATGTATTAAAAGATAATTTTTAGAAGAGGATATACCATGACTTTCATACAGATATAAAAATGAACATGTGTCAAAGCTTTTATTTAATTCATTAATTAATGAAGGAACCAGAAGATATTACAATTGGTTCAAAGGAGAATTAAAAGAACCACACATATATGGCATTAGGAAGGGCGAAATAAATTTGCCTAACAAATGTAAAACTTCAAAACTGCTCAATATCCACAGAGCAATAATCAACTGAATCCCAATGAGATACAATTTGCATTTCTATGGACAAAAACCATTTGCATTACTATAAGTATTATATAACTTAGAGCAATGTAAAATAATTCAAAGACAATAAAAGATTCAGAGACCCGATAGAATCAGATAATCTGGACAATGCCTACTTTTCCATTGAAGACAACCACAATATCTTGGACCGTTTCTAAGTCTTTCACAAGTTCTCTCTACAAAATACAGAAAGTACTAACTCCCTGTGCCCCAATGCATAAAATCTAGAAGGAGGGGAATGAAGAAGACAAAGATAAACATAATAACTGAATAGATTATAAAGCACAGTGGGATATATCCCAAAAGACTGAGCTGATAATTTCCCCATACACACAATATGCCCAAGTAAAGAAGGTATCTGTTCTGATTGGATGGTGCCTGTGCTGGATGCATACTTAAGCACAGACAGAAACAAAGTACTATGAGAAATCAGAGAAAGGAAAGAGTTATATTCCCATCAGGAGCCATGGGCTTACTTCATGGAGCAGGCTTTTTTTTTTTTTTTAAGATTTTTATTCATTTATTTGACAGAGACAGTGAGAGAGGGAACACAAGCAGGGGGAGTAAGAGAGGGAGAAGCAGGGAGCCCGATGCGGGCTCGATCCCAGGATGCTGGGATCATGACCTGAGCAGAAGGCGGACACCTAAAGACTGAGCCACCCAGGCGCCCCTGGAGCAGGCTTTAAAGGAGAAAATTGTGGTAATCATTTCAAAGACTGCATAGATCAAACCAGCACACTGAACACTCGAAATATAAACAACTACCTCTGTCAACCATACCTCAATAAAGTTGAAGTAGGGAAAAAAGAAAACAGGCTTTAAACAAGTAGAAGGCGAGGTGCAGGGAGAAAAGGTGTTTTAAACAAAGTTTCGAGGAGGAGAAGAGTGACAGAAATGTAATGTTCCTGGCTTGTACATTAGCATGGTTGAAGGAAATGAGAGCTAAATGGAAGACTTGGTGGTTTAGGCCAAACCACAGCCAACCCTCAACACGATAAGGGGCTAGGAATTCTTTGTGTCCTGACAGGAAACCCCCAAAGTTTTTAAGCAGGGAAACGACAAGACCAAATATAAGCCTCAGACAAGTAACTCTAGCAGCAGTTGGCAAAAAAAAAAAAAAAAGAGAGAGAGAGAGAGAGATTGAAAAAGTGAGATATCAGAAAAAGGAGTAGTAGGAACCTATTGCAATGGTCAGGTTGGAGCCCAAACCAGAGCATTCTGGAGAAGGAAAGAGCTTTGAGGAAACCAGAATAAAAAGGATGCAGTAATTCACTAAGTAAGTGATCTGGGGTTTTTGACTGTGTAATATTCGTTAAAATTGGAGCATGAACTCCTCCAACTAATGCATATTTAGTTATAAAAAATGTACTGCTCTACTAATAAACTAATATAATCCATGTAATTTGAAACACTCATACATGCTCACAAACTTTTTTTGCTTTTAAAGAGAGTGGTTTAATTCGTGTTTGGATGCTTAATTTCTAAATGTCTTGTTAATTTCCATGGCTTCGTATTAGTAGTAACTTACCTCCAAGCACCACAGATTTATAGCAAGATCTGTGGTTTACAATGAGCAAATGTAAATTCTCATTTCAAATAATCTGGATAATTTCAAATTTTTTTTCTGATTTCTTACAGATTTAAGTTGTCCATGTCTGTGTATGTCATGGATGATATATAATCTATGTACATATCTGATCTAGCTATATGTGTGTATATGATAAATAGGCACTTTTTTTTTAAAACATGTGATGTAGTTGACGAAGAGCTTGAATTAGCAGAAGATTCCATTCTACACATTCTTGTTTGCTAGTGCTTTTATAAATTAGAATCATCTTCAATTCCCATTCACCATAGGGATTTTTAAAGTCACCTTCTATTTTGTGAGTTTAAGTAAAAGTAGATAATACAATCTGTGAATCCATTTGTTAGGCTCACAGGCACAATCGGCTTAAAGTCAACAAATAAGTGAGCCGTTGTTGATCTCTTCACAAATGTGAATTCCCACACTCCCCTCAGGATTCCTCTCCATGTGCACTTGACATGACTCTACCTATAGACCAAGTTAGGGTACAAGGGAAGTACCTATATGAAATAGTAATCAAACCTTATTTTCTTGTAGTTAGGAATATTGAAATAACTTCCTAGGCCAAAGATAAGCCATTCCTGCCCAGGGGTGCCATATCAGCAAATCAAAACTTTTCTAAGTTTTGTGTCTCTTGTAAATGCCCCCACTTAACCAGAAATGCAACGAGCCAAATCGCAAATGCCAAGCTAGCCCTGGGCTGTATACTTATTTCCTTGTTTCTTCTCATCCCAAACAAAGTTGACTGTGTGACTCCAGCCAATTGGATATTGTCTCTTTTTCTCTTCCTTTTTATCCAATTAAAATTCCTTGCCTTCCACCACATTTTGCAGTTCCACCTCATGAAACGGAAAGGAGCTATCCGTTTCATGAGGTGTTAAGTGAAATTTATTTTTGTCACCGAAACTATCTTTTAAAATCATTTGTAACAGGAATTCACTATAAAGAGAAGTTTTAGTACTTTGTTCTGACTATCCAATGGCTTATCTGTGATCACACAACCAACTGAAAACCCATACTTGAGATAAAGCAGAGGAGAAAGATGAGTCAAAGATTTGCAGGCAAGACTTGAAGGACAGTGGTATCAATAAACTAAATGGTAAACATAACAGGATGAATGGGTTTGGAAGGAAAATAAAACTGGTTTCTGACACATTGAGTCTGAGGTACCATGAGAGACTCGATGAAGCTATCCCTGAGATTTATGAATGAGGCATGGAGCATGTGAGAGGAATTGAAGTTGCATGCAGGATCCAGTGTGATAGCTTGAAGCCAACTTGTAACGTAGGTTTCCCAAGAAGAAAAGTGGGTAAATAAGAAAACTCTGAAAAGGACTTACATATAAGGATTTGCAAAAGCAAGAGAATTCTTCTTGGAGATGCATGAGAAAGGAGACAGAAGGCTGTAGTGTCACAGAAGTCAAAAAGAAAAGATTTTAAGAAAGCAAATATTCCAACAATGCTGTGCAGGGAAGAAGGATAAAGTTAGGATAGAGACATTGGGTTTGGTCAGTTAGGATGCGGCTGACATTTGAACAAGTGGTTTAAGTAAAGTAATAGTAGTAGAAGTCAGTTTTCAAGTTCTTAAAAATCAATAAGTAGTAAAAGAAAGAAAGAAAGAGAAAGAAGGGAAGGAAGGAAAGAAAAGGAAGGAAGGAAGGAAAGAACAAAAGAAAGAAAAGGAAGGAAAGAAAGAACGAATGAACGAACGAACGAAAGAAAGAAAGAAAGAGAAAGAAAGAAAAAGAGAAAGGAAGAAATCACAGATTGTTCCTTCAAGAAGTTGGATAGGGAGAAGAGAGATTGTGCAGTGAATTAAGGAAGGTGCTTTAAATAGGAAACATTCGAGCTTATATGTAGGGCAAACAGTGAAGAGGGATAAATTGAAGGTAGAAATAAAGAAGGGAAACTTAACGAGACCAAGTTCTCAAATGGGGGTATACCAAGACACAGATGAAAGAGACAGCTTTGGGAAGAGGAAGAAGGAATTTTTCAAATCAGAGAAGAAGTATAGTTAATAATGCTGTATTGGGTATTTCATAGTTGCTGAGAGAGTAGATCTTAAAAGTTTTCATCACAAGAAAAAAATCTTCATAATTCTGTATGGTGACTGATGTTAGCTAGAGTCATTGTGGTGATCGCCTTGTAATACTTTATATATAAATGTCAAATCATTACATTGTACACCTGAGATTGTTATGTCAATTATACCATAATAAAAAATTAGGTCAATATAAACTAATGAATGAATATAGTGAAACAGAAACAGTTTAGACCAGAAGATTCTCACCTCAAAATTGTGCTCCTCCTACTGTTCTGGCTGCTCCATTTCGTCTCCTTTTCCTGTCCTCTTTAGCTCCATGACCTCCTGTGGTAAAATGAGAAATCGATATTTGGTTAGAAGAAAAGGGATAAATGTGGTAGTTGTTTCTGTTTTTGCTTTTGTTTTCAAGTAATGCACAGTTGAAAGTGTTCCTATCGGATGGTTTCCCTTTTTAATCAGATTATTAGGGGGTGAGGTAACATGCAGAGCATTGGTAAACATTCTGGATGGTTTAGGGATTGGCAAATGAACATGGAGCCACTATCTAGTTTTTAACATCATCAGATTTGAGTTTTGGAAAAGTTCAGTCTAGTTAGAGGTATGGCAGAGAAGCAGTAAGATTAGATTTTTGAGCCAGAATTGAGGAAGATGAGTTAAAGGAATAGGCAATTCAGGCAAGAAATCATGCCTTAACAAAGGCAACAGCAAGGGGATAGAGCAGAGGCAGTATATTTGAGAGTTAGGTATAAGGGAGAATGGGAGTGGAGCCAGCGGAGACCTCAAAGTCAACTACTCTTTCTACATACTCGTTCAGAGAAGAAAAGAGAGCTGTAGAAGTAAACACACAGAAACCGAGTCCATGGATGTATTTCACTAAAATGAGAAACTTACTGGCGGAAGGGAAATAGCCAGGAGAGAGGGAGAGTTTAAAGAAGACACACAGAGAGGATGATTGACATAGGGATGACTGATGGAGTCATCAACACCCCAAGAAAGGGGGACAGAAAGAGATTTAGAGCAGAGGAAAGGGATTAGCTTTAAACTAGGGGGAAGGAAAAATGAAGTCCACAAGCTATTTACAATATTTCAGAAAGCCTTCTGGAAATTGCAATTAAATAAAATGTCAAGTTTCTTTACTTTTGGCAGGCATTAAATCAACCCTGCGGGCTAACACTGGTTATCACACGCGGATCAGAAATTCTAATTTGCTGTTGATGACATCATAGAAATTTCTAGGATGTTATTGGTGGACCATATGCTGTTAGCAGAGTTATTTATCTGGTTTTTACAATATCTGATTTAATTCCTCCAGCATGTGATCAACCTTGGATCAGAAGAGTGACAGCCAAAATTAAGCGACCATTTCCAGGGAACAGTGCCTAGTGTTTGTACACTTATTTAACTTTATTGCTTATTAGCATTACATCCATGACAGTGATGTATGTGATTTCATTTAAGTGACAAAATCTTTCAAGATATGGGGTCCACGGATGAAAACATAATAAAAAGAGTCCTTGGATGAAAAGAATTGGGATGACAAGATCTCGATAGTCCCTTCAAATCTAACCTTCTATAATTTTAAGAGGGGCTCATAATCACAAGTTCAGCAATGGCTAAATGGGGAAGTTGTAAAGAATACTTGAAAACACCCCAACTAACCAGTGATTCACTTTAAACAAGGCAAGCAGATAGGAAAGCGACATAAATAACCCTTCCCACCTGGGGGGCAGCACAGGAGAAACTAAAAAAAAAAAAAAAAAAAGTTGGGTGAGGGATAACAAGCGCTTAATAGAAGGAAAGGCATACTTGCTTTATCGATAGCCACAAAATATTAACCAACTTTAGGAGCAGTAATGATTGTCATGAGCACACTTTTCCTTGTTTGGCGCACCCACCTAGCCAACCCTTAGGTAAATACAAATGAAGGGTGAGGATCTTTTCCCCCCAACACCTACACTAAGCTAGGCTCATTCTGTACCTTCTACTATGTACTTCGCAGTGTACCTTTGCCCACGGGAATTCGGCCACTGAGGATTTTTCTTTTTTCTTTTTTTTTTAACTTTCAAGAGAAATGGGCCAAGGAAGTAAGTTAAAGGGTTGACTGGTCTTCGTGGGTTGGGTGCTAGAGCCATCAGCACTTTCAACCCCTGGCAAGCATCGAGGAGCAGCCAGACTGACTGGATAGGTTGACCATGAGCCCCGGGATATCACATGCAGCGGGGCAGCTTCCGGGGTGGTAGAAAGCTCGGAAAGGGTGTGCTGGGGAAGGGGTGCGTAGTGGAATAACGTGTACTTTTCTTCTGGAACTGTAGTTCTGTTGCCCCCAACCTGGGCTCACGTAGTGGCCAGAAAGACAGGAGAAAGCCCCAGGGCTCGCTTTCGGGCTACGTTGGACCCTCTGTCCCCTCTACTCACATCCTCCCGTCCCTGCCGCTGCCGCCCGCCAGCGCCCATGACCCGCTGACCCCGGAGAGCCGTCTGGGGCCCGTGACCCCGGAGCACCGGGCATCCGGACCCCCCTCGCAGGCGCAGCCGCTATTAAGGCAGGAGGCTAAAGGGGAGGAGGAGGAAGGGGAGGAGACAGGCGTCCAGGGCGCCTGGGGAACCGGCACCGCCGAGCAGGGGTGGCGAGGTTGGGGTAAAGCCGCCAAGGCGGCCGCGGCCGAAGAGGGGCAGGTGGAGGCCCGGGGCGCCGCGGCGGCGGGGTTAGGCTCCCCGGCGGGAGGCACGGGTGGCGGCCGCGGGGGCTGGCGGCGGCTCCCCGCCTGGCTGCGGCGGCGGCAGCCCCAGTGCTGCCCCTGTGCGGCGCCCCTTCCCCGCTCCGCCGCGCACTGTTGTCATGGAGGAACCAAGATGGCGGCTCTGGCCTACAACCTGGGCAAGCGGGAGATCAACCACTACTTCAGCGTGAGGAGCGCCAAGGTGTTGGCGCTGGTGGCCGTGCTGCTCCTCGCAGCGTGCCACCTCGCCTCCCGCCGCTACCGAGGTGAGCGGGCCCTCCCCCTGCCTGGGCCGGCCGGGGGAGGAGGCGACGCGGCGGCTGGAGGCCGCCCCCCTCGCCCAACACACGCCCACGCTCACGCGTCCGCCCGCCCCCGCGCCGGGCCGGCGGGGGAGGCGGTGCCCCCACGTGCCCCCCGGTGTCCCCAGCTGAGGGCCGGGCGCCCCTGGCCGACTGAGCGGACCCCAGTGCGGGCCGCCCCCAGAGAAGGGCCCGTGGTCCTGGGGCCCCTAGCCGCCTGCGCTGCGGTCGGGGCAACCGATTCGGGCCTGGCGCGAGTTGCTGCCGGGGTCCGGGCTCCTGCGCGAGCTGCGCCGGGGGAGCCGAGCCAGGCCCGGGCCTCCCATGCACCGGGTCGGACCCTCGGCCCTCGGGGGCCAGCCCGGGGCGCCGAAGGCGGAGGCCCCCCCCCCCGCCAGGGGCCCCTTTGCCAGAGTTGGGGTCGTCGATTCTGAGCCCTAGGGGTCCAGCTCTTTAGGCTTTGTTTAATCCCGGCCTCTGCCCGGTACTGCAGAGCCGAGCTGTTGTTGGACAGCGGCAAGGGCCGCCCCATTTTCCTCTGCCGCCTGGGCGACAGCTGGCAAAGGATGCCCTTAGCCAAATGGAGGAGGTGTCACGGAGCCTCGGTGATCCAGAAACGTTTCAAGGGTTCTGGCTGCACACTTTTTACAAAGTAAAGGCACTGGGGCAGATTATTTGAAAAGTTGTGGGTTGACAGGAGTCGAGGTGGGCAAGGAAGTTACGTCGGAAGCAGTTTGAAAGGAGGCCTTCGATGTGGGTTTTTGAAATTGGTGTAAAGGGGAAAAGGAAATATGACCTTATTTCAGAACGAATTATCTTTCAGTAATCAAGGGATATTTACTTGTCCTTGTTGATTGATTTTTTTTCCCTCTGTTAAAATGCCACTAGCAGAGAGGCTGACAAGCTGAGGTTAAATTAATAATGATAGGATCTTTTATTTTTGGCTCTTAGTATTATCGAAGCCATTATCTGGAGAGCTCTGGGTGACTATGAGCTTAATTGGTGAAGATGTAATGTGTAACGGACAGGTGCACGCTGTTCCCATTTAACTTCGCACCCACTTTGGCAAAATATCCAGTAAATGGGGTATTGGAATCTGAGCTCTGTTCTCATCCCAGGAGATCTTTCAAAGTGTAGGACATTTTGAGCAGTTTTGCTGCTTTGTTTTCTCCAATTCTTTTTTTTTTTTAAGATTTTATTTATTTATTTGAGAGAGAGAATGGGAGATAGAGAGCCTGAGAGGGAAGAGGGTCAGAGGGAGAAGCAGACTCCCTGCTGAGCAGGGAGCCCGATGTGGGACTCCATCCCAGGACTCCAGGATCATGACCTGAGCCAAAGGCAGTCACTTAACCAACTGAGCCACCCTCTCCAATTCTTGAGGATTAAAAATCCTTACTCTAGTACCATACTGGATGAATAGTTCTGTATATAAATGCACTGAATCGATTTTAAAAGATAAATTCTTTATACCCTTTTGGCCTCTTTCACCCTCCTATAGGTCACAGCCATATGATCTGGCTGGGCTTTGGTTCATTGGCAGTGGCTCTAACACAAGTCAGACTTTCATATGTAAAGTGAAACTAGCAATGTTGATGCATTAATTCGTGGTTGTTTTGAAGAAAATTCCCTAACTACTATTAAGCATTTTATGTTAGTTTGGTATAAGATGACAGTAACCTAACTCGGTTTTGTCTGTGTGAAGGTAGTGAAGATAAATGTTATAAGTGTGGTGCTACCGTGCTAAAGGTAAATCTCTGGTCCTCCTCCCTTTAACTTTATGTTGTGCTTTTGTCTTTTGATAAACCTGGATACTAATTATTATAGTTAGAGTCCACATTTCATCCTTTCAAGATCTGTCATCAGCAGGGAAAACAATGTCAGATGGAACTTTATGAGTCAGTGTAGCAATCTGGGGTTGTTTATAAAGCCTCCTCCAGAAGCTAGTCACCAGCTTCCGTAGGTGCTTCAGCGTCTTCAGCGTGAAGCAGTACACCTGGTGTGTGTACTTGCCTAGACTGAATGTCAAGAACTTGAGCCAGACACTGTTTGGGAAAAATAATGATCCTACCAAGAAGTTTTTAGACATCCTCATGCTTTGGCAGAGTCAAACTGCGTGAAATGTAATGCTCTTCACACAAAGATAACCCTACACTTGCATCACAATATCATAAATCTTTAGAATAAGAAAGGACTATTGGATACAGAGGCTTATGCTTTATATTAAAATCTCCAGTGTGTGGGTGTACGGACACCTCAGGCAAGGTAGAGTGAATGCAGTTTGAATACATATCTTCAGTATCTCTTGCTTTACAAACTATAGAAAGGAAGGAAAGAATTGCGTATGGCAGAAAGTAAGGCTTGGCAAACATGCTAACTTTGAGTACCTATTATATGCCAGGTGCTGTGCTACGAAAGGTTTTACATGTTTGAACTCCTTTTGTCTTTAACAACCATTTTGTGAGGTAGCTAAAATTACCATATTTCATCCTCCATTCTACTCCCCCACCACCATTTTTGACATCTTTGTAATCAGGATGAATTTTTAAAACTTTATTGCATGTCAAAGTTTAATTGATAACATTTTTCCTAGTGTTACATAAAATAATGATGTATCTTATAATCAGTGGTCTTAGATCCAGCGAATTACGGTATTATTTACATTTTAAAGATGAGGCATGAGAGGTTAAGTTGCCTAAGGACACACAATTAGTCAGTGATTGAGCTAGGATTTACAACCAGACAACCCAGTTAGTCTGCCTCATGCCATTAGGTTATAGACTGCCTTTCTCAGAGCTCCTTAGACAGTGGTGATGTATAGAAGATGGAGTGAGAAAGCATTTTCCAGAGGGACATGGATTAAATACTTTAGAAACACTAATTCAACCTCACAGTATCAGTCAAGAGTTTTTCCTTTTCTTTTTAAAATAAAATGATTTTCTAAAAGTTGAATGTGTAAAACTTCAAAATCTGACCAGCTTACTTTTTATTACCTATGTTTATCTTTTCCCTTCTTTCTAAACTCCAGGCTCACAGTCACAATATGCCTTGCCCTTTTACATATCTCACAGATACCTGATTTTTCTCTACCCGCAGTGACCTCTCTCCTTAAAAGAAAGTACAGATTTTTCTTTCAGAGTCTGATTCAAATGTCACCATCACAGAAATAAGAATTAGGAATTTAGTGTTTCTATAGCAATTAGTATGTACTTATGTTGTATCATAATAATTTGTATCCATCTTCCCCACACAAACTGTGAGCTTCCAAGGGTATTTTATTCATCTTTAAATCATCCGAGCTTAACACACAGAAGGAAATCCATAAACAATAATTGGATAAATAGATTTTCAAAATCCTTATTTCCTTCTGTTTTTCTCCTTTCATTTGGTTCTTTTGGTTTTCATTGAATTTCATGTTCTAATAGTATGTTCTGATCTCAACTTTAGAAAATAGAGGGTTTTTTTATTAATATTACTTTCACATAAAATAGTAGAATGACATTTTAAATAATAATCCGACTAACTATATTTCTTCTGAATTTTCTCAATCTCTAACATTACTAAATCACAAAATGTCCATTAATATTGTGATTACAGATTAAAAAACATCATCTCTGTGATAAGAGGCCAGTAGGTCTCTTAGCCTTTTCTCTCTTTGCCAGAAAGATCCTGATATATGACACCACCTGTAATAGAGGCACTCCTAGTTTGTCAAAAGAAAAATATAAAAGGTGATTTTTCTTTTTTAAGTCTTATCTATTTATTTATTAGAGAGAGCACAAGCCAGGGGGTGGGGGGAGAGGCAGAGGCAGCGGGAAAAGCAGGCTCCCCGCTGAGCAGGGAGCCCGATGTGGGGCTCAATCCGAGGACTCTGGGATCATGTCCTGAGCCAAAAGCAGACGCTTAACTGACTGAGCCAACCAGGCACCCCTAGAAGTGATTTTTCAACACAGACCAAAGTGTGACCTTGCTGAATTTTAGGCAAACAAAATATTCCACAAATCATGTTAAAAACTTTATGGTCTGATATTTTCATGGTTGGTAGTAAGAAACAGATAGCTTTGGTAGGATGATTCAGCCAGTCTAAGGGTGCAGTATGCCAGAGGTATTCTA